AGGGGGACGATGGTTGTGGTCTTAAAGCAGGTGGGAATGATGCTCTGGCTGACGGAGAGGTTGAAGATGGTGGTGAGAACATCAGCCAGCTCGCTGGCACATGCCCTGAGAGCCCTCACAGGGATGTTGTCCGGTCCTGCCGCTTTGCAGGGGTTGATCTTCCTCAGGACTGTGCGTACCTGGCCTGGTGAGACAGTTAGTGGAGGGGAGGTGGGGGGTTGGGTCATCTTGGTGTGTATGTGCCTCCTCTCTGTGTTGTAGCTGGAGGTCTCAAAGCAGGTGTAGAAGGTGTTGAGGTCATCCGGCAGGCTGTCTGTGGAGCTGATGATGCTGGTGGTGGTCCTGTAGTCTGTGATGTGCTACAGGCCTTGCCACATTCATCCGGAGTCAGCAGTAGAATAGAAGCCAATCAGCTTCTGTCTGTACTGCCTCTTGGCCACTGTGATGGCTTTTCTCAGTCTGTACTTCGCAGCTTTGTACTCCGTCTCATCGCCTGATCTGAATGCATGAGAGCAAGCATGCAGCATGTGGCGTACCCGACTGTGTATCCAGGGCTTCTGGTTGGGGAGCCTCCTGACTTGTATGGTGGGCACGATGTTGTCGATACAGGAGGTGCTAATGTATCTGGTCACACACAGCATAATCCTGCACACTGACAGAAAAGTCCTCTGAGGTGGCTGCAGCTTTAAACACATCCCAGTCTGTCCAGGCAAAACAGTCTCGCAGGGTGCCCTCAGTCTCTGGGGTCCAGTGGTTTAACTTGCTTGGCGATTGGTGACAGGGTTTGTTTGTTTCAGTCTTTGTCTGTAAGCTGGATACAGGAACAAAGAAATGTGGTCTGAGCATCCAAGGTGGGGGCGGGGTGCAGCCCTGTATGCACCACGTATGTTACTGTAAACATAATCCAGAGTGCTCTTGTCCCAGGTGGGAATGTTCAGATGTTGGTAATATTTTGGGAGTACAGTTCGTAGTCTGGTTAAAGTCACCTGCAGCGATAAATATAGCATAGGGGTGCTGTCTCTAGCGCGGTGATGACGTCATAGAGTTTGCTGAGAGCCGCAGAGGGATTAGCTCTTGGGCTAACATACACAGCAGCCAGATACACAGCACTATGCTCTCTTGCTAGATAATAGGGCCGGCATTTCAGCAATAAAAACTCTACGTCTACAAACAGTGCTTATAAGCAGTCCATACATCTCCACACCGCGAGTTATTGATAAACACACACACCCCACTTCCTTTTACTTTCCTCAATGCAGCAGTGCGGTCACCTCGATGTAGAGAGTGAGTCTCTAGCTGAATCGCTGAGTCTGGAACTCTGTCAGAAAGCCAAGTCTCGGTGAGAATAGAGCACAGCATTCTCCAATTTCCAGTTGTGCTGTAATCCTAGCCCTTAGCTCGTCCAGTTTGTTTTCCAGAGACTGTACGTTAGCTAGGAAGAGGCTGGGTAATGGCGGTCGAGTAGCGCAAGCTTTTAGCCTAGCATGGAGTCCCCCGCACTTGCCTCGCTTGCGTCTCCGTCTCTGGGTCGCTCTCCTGATTTCAGCCTGCTTGGTTGTGCCTGGTGCTCCGGGGGCTCCCTGAGGGTGATGGTGGTTGTCGTCATTGTTGTTGCGGGAGTGGACGATGAGTTGTAGCTCCGGTGGTATGAAACCAGTAAATTCCCAGTGGCTGTGCGAGTTGGCGATATCCAGCAATGCCTGTCTGTTGTATGTTAGCAGTGCATGACATTTGTGCACTGCAGAAAGAGTAAAAAACACACAAAAAAGAAGAAAATGAAGAAAAAGCTGGCATTCGAGAATGGAACGCACAATCACGTCTGCCTCAGTGGGCGCCATGTTTACAAATCTGGTTTTGATACTGTGATTGCTTTTTCCCTGTACCTGTAGTAAAGTACTCTCTATATCTTCTGTATGCCTGTACTCTTATTTCAGTACACTTTTTAAATGCATAATTTTTATTTGTGACAGAGTATTTCTGTTTTTATTAAGAAAAGGATCTGAATACTTCTTTTACAATTGTAATGGGAATGAGGGAACTAGAAAAGAGTTCTGATCCATTCAGGTTTGACTTATTGATATGTAGACCCCAGCAAGCGCAGCAGCAAGAGTCTGACCTGGTCAATCTGGGTGAGTATGGTTTGATTATTAACAGGTCATTTGTTTGAACTAGATCTCAGTGATTATGTATCAGTACATGCTTGGGGGTTTAACAAATGGCTTATCAGTCCAAACAAAGCAATTCAGTCACTGCACCCTTCATGTCCTTTCAGGTGAGGGGTGCAGTCAGCCTCTGGAGCCAGGTCCCTGTCGGCAGTACGTGATCAAGTGGTACTATGACCCAGAGGCCAACGCCTGTGCCCAGTTCTGGTATGGAGGTTGTCAGGGCAATGCTAACAACTTTGAGACTGAAGCCAGTTGCTGGAATTCCTGTGTCTACACATAACAAACTTTGGAGAAAATGGTGTGTATAAAGCTAACATGCTCCATCAGTGTCACTGAGGAATAGAACGATAACACAGGCTTGACCAGAGCTCAGGTCAGCAGCAGCAGCAGCAGCAGCTGCTGTGGTCACACTGTGGACTGCTGCCAGCAAAGGCAATGATGGAGAGCAGACACAGATCTCCCCCCTGTCTCCCAGGCTATGCTCACACTGCAGGTGCTCCTGTTCAATTCTGAACCACTTTACATTACAAATAGCTGCCTGACTGTTTTGGAGAAATATCTGTCTGAGAATGTCAAGCAACAGAAAACCAGTATAAGCTGACAGGAGCATCAAAAAGACTGGTTCAACATAGCATCTCTAATGCAGTTTATTTTATTTTCACTATCACTTTTTTAATTTTTTTCTTTTGCTGTCTAGTTCTTCTCCAGATGAACACTTTACCCCAGCCTTTAATAACCTGGGGCCTGTATCACAAAGCAAGTTAATCTCACACTGTCTACACAGGAGGCTTGGCATGAGTGGCATGTTAGCAGAGCACCAGTAGCAGCTCTGGTACTCCATGTGTGTTGATACAGGAGAACCTCAGGCAAAGTACTAATGATTTACATTCTGGGAGCATTTAGAGGCCAATACACAATGTTTATATTTACAATCTATAATTCTTGTTACTGTGTTACTATGAAATCTCTTGCATGTCTGTCCATCCTGGAAGTGGGATCCCTCCTCTGTTATTCTTCTTGAGGCTGAGATGGTTAACTGGAAGACATGGCTGAAACACTTTCATCGGTCTGTCTCTTTTAGGGTTACCTGACTTCTCTCAGCTTAACACTGGTGACCCTGGATAACTGGGCTCAGCTGCTAATCACTAATCTGAGGGTCAGTGTTTATGATTACAAACCATCACAGTCAATTTCAGTACCATTAGAGTAGAACCTGAACAGAATAGCTGTAGGAAAATAAGGAATATCCCAAAATTAAAAGTAATATAACCAGGATGGGACTTATCAAATAGGCATTTTTAAATCTGGCTGGCATTTTCAACTTGTTAAGTAATCTAGACTAGTGAGTATGGAAAATAAATGAATTATCTATAGGCTGATTGTTCATGTACAGTATTTCTATAATTATATTTTGATGCTGTTGATGCTTGATGCTGTCTCATAATGAACAAACTATTGTGAATAAGTGATACACCAAAAAACAGAGGAAATGATCTCTCGGCAAGGCACTGAAATTTATAATTAACTGTGAACTAAGTAAAAGTATGCGCAGCTAAAATCCCCATTCC